ATGGTCTTCACTGCCACCAACTTAAAAATGTAGACATGCAATGTACAACAAGTTCTTAAGAGAAGCCCACATAAGACTTATCAAGAAAACACTTAGAATACAGACTTTACAAATGGCAAGAGATAGTGGACTAGACCAGCGGTTCTCAACCTGTGGGTCGCGACCCCTTTGTGGGGTTGAATGACCCTTTCACAAGGGTCGCCTAAGAGTCTTGAGTGTGGCTCTTCCACATCCGTGGAAGAGCCGGCCGGGGAACCATGACCACAACCGGCAATGGAGCCATGGCACTCGACTGGCAGAGGTGGCGGCTGCGATGCTGCCAGGTGCTTCTGCTGAGCATGCTGCTCTCGCTCTCGGGCACCTGCCTCTCCTACAGCTTGCTGCTCCTCTGCTGCACCACCACTCCGCCACCACCCAAGAAACTTCTGCAGAAGTGGCGCATCTGCTCTGTTGCCACTTCTGCAGAATTTTCTTGTGGGCAGCGTGCAGGGTGGGCAGGGGCAGCATCAAGGTGGCTGGGGGGCGCGGCAGAGGAGCAGCAGGCTGTAGCAGAGGCAGGTGCCCGTGAGAGCAGCGCGCTCAGCAGAAGCGCCCGGCAGCACCGCAGTCGCTGCCTCTGCCAGTTGAGCGCCATGGCTCCATTGATGGCCATGGCCATGGCTCCCCAGCCGGCATCAGCGCAGGGTCGGGGCGTGCAGGTTGTGGAAGAGCCACATTCAAGACTCTTAGGCGACCCTTGTGAAAGGTCGTTCGACCACCAAAGGGGTCGCGACCCACAGGTTGAGAACTGCTGCTGTATGTAGTTGAAGAGGGTTTTATGTTATATGTGTTGTGTGTTTGTGTTTTTTTGAAAATAAAAATTTTGTTTAAAAAAAGAATTCTTGTTTCTTTACAATGTTAGTCTGTAAATCTTTTGTATCAGGTGTGAATTTGTATCCAAAATTTCTTCGCTTTTTCACAAGTCCACCGTGACAAAATGTCCCCTCATACGTTTTACATTTCCAGCACTGGTTTGAAATGCCTTTATACATATGTATAATGTATTGCTGTCATATACCAGCAATACTTCATTTTATAAAAAATTTCACTTAAATTATGCAATGTAATAAATTACCCACCATCTCTCCCAAGTGTTCAACTCAGTTATATCCAAAGCTAATAGCCCATTTTGTCATGTGGTCTTTAATCTCTTCTTCCGTTTTACATCTTAACAAAAGTTTATACGCTTTTGTTCACCATTTTACATACTGGTAATTCCATTTCAAATTGTTTTTCTTTTTTTTAACTCTGCACATGAAAACCATTGAAAACTATGTCCTTTTGCAGTTTCCATAAACAAATAGGCTATTGCCTATTACTGGGTAACTGGCTTTCCTCTCCCTTCTAAGGTTAAGCCAGTTTTTCCCATCCCCCCCTTTGCAGAGATTCAGCTGCTGTAGAAAGGTGGTATCATTTCAGCAAATGTTCTTAAAACAATTGACAGCTGGTGTCTTGGAAACTTTGCATCTGCTCACAGCAATGGCTGTTCTTGAGCAAAGCCCGAGCAAGTACCAGGAACTAAAATATGGATTTGGGGCCACTAACTCTTCATTGTTTTTCATGCTCTCCTGTAGAACAGATGGATACAAGACCTCAGTGGCTCGTGCTAGTCTACATTTTTAAGTTGGTGGCAGTGAAGACCATTAGTTAACTTTAAACTGCTTTTCAAGAATCAGGGAGTAAAAATTGCAATGATGTAAAGATTCCCTTGATTATCCAAGGATTAATAACATTCTTATGCATAGTTTAGTAAATGCATATTCTTTTCTTTTTTGTTTGCAAAAACATTCTGATTAAATGAAACTAGCAAACAGCAACAAAAAGATGTCAAAAGTTCAAAGCCAGATTAAGACCCTAAAGAGAGATAGGGGAACATAGACCTTTGATTTTAAATCTCTCATTCAGTTGCACAATCCTAATTTCTTCTGGAATGAGGAAGAAAAAAAACATCTCTATTCTTGTTTTTTATAAAGTATGTGCAATTTTATACCTCTATCATTTCCCACATTTTCTAAACTAAAAATCAAGATATTTTTACAGAGTCCATTACTATCTTTGAAAGTTAGAGTATGTTTACCGCAGGGGTGGTAATGGTAATATGTGGAGATTTTTTAAATCATCCAAAGGCAGAATTATGTTTGCATGTATGTATGTGTGAGAAACAGAGTACCGTAATGGTTTGGGTTTTGTTTGAACAACTTTATTACATTTGAAGAGAAAATAAAATACAAGATAATAAAAATGGGAGAAGGGATTCAAAAGGGGAAAAGTTTAAAGAGGGGGTGGAGGGATAAGCAATATATATATTAAAAAAGACTTCCAGTTTTCCTCAGTACAGATACAAATATATAACTAGATAATCTCTTATTATAAATTAAACATAGGGTAACCAATATCTGAATTTAATAACATGTACAATCTACAATCAATCCAATTATCCAATCACTAATTCAAAAATACATATTTATCATTATCAAATAAGATTTTAAATATAATTTCTAGTTTAAAAAGAAACCAAAACAAAATCTTATAATAAACAAAATATTCAATTTTAGCATCTCTCCTCAATTCCTTTTTCAAAATCCACTTTTCATGACCAATTTTTACCTTCGTTTCATCTGTGCATTCTGTTACCTAATATAATCCTTTAAAAATTCCTATATTTCCTCCATTCTATTCATCATAACAAAAGTTCCTAATCTCATATCCATCTTTATATTCTTTATAAATCACAACTTCACCATAAAGTTAAATTCACATACTTACCAACAATCAAAATTAATGTTATACCCCAGTTTTAGAAGTTTAATCTTAACTCACTATCAATTAAAAACGTACCTTGACTATAAAATAGCCATCATTAATACATAAATATCTACTAATACCTATTTTCTCATCTAAACTATCATATGTATATATGTATTATTTTCCTTTTACAGTTCGCTTATTAAAATTTTTTCAAACAAAAATAATTTACTCTGCATAATCAATAACAATTGTAGGCCATCTTGTTACAAATCTGTAATCAACCTTCATTATAACATGATCAAACAAAATTTATAATCTATATGTAACATATTTTCCCTTTCTAATATGTGCCTCCTATTTCCTCCAATCCATAATCTCCAGACTGTTGTTGAACATGCATTTCCTTTTGTTTCTCTTAAATTTTGATGAAGTAAAATAAAATGTTTTCTCCTCCCCTTTTCTCAAATTCCACATAGAGGTTTCTTTCAAAATTGTTATAGTTAAGTTTTCACCTTTTAATCTTAAATGAAAATGATCATAAGAAATTTGTTCCTATATTTTTTTCTTGTTGTAGACAACAATCACTTAAGATGTATTTATAAGGTGTCCTTCCTTAATTTTAATTTCCATTTTATCTTTTATTTCTTCATGTTCCACAAGAATCATATAATTTATTATCCAGTAATTTTTGAGTTCTCTCAAACACAGCTTCTAGAACTAATATCTCTAAGAATGTGATGTAGTTTCTTCCCCGCTACTCCCCCATCATATTAAATAACACACTCTAGTGTCCAAGAGAATAATTGCAAATTATATTCCTCAGAGAAGGGAGGGGGCAGATACAGAGAGCTCTTCCCATTTATATTCATTGATAGATCCAAACCAATCAGCAATGAGCTAAGTGAAAATTCTAAAATCAGAAAGGAAAAGAATGCAGCTTCTTCAGGTACAGATTGTTCAAATCTAATTTTTAATCCTTTAAAAAAAAGCAGCCCCCCCAAAAAAAGACTTTTACAATCCAAAATTTTGTCTTTTTCTATAAGCTAAATTCAAGTCCCAGATCAATTTTTTTAATCCAAAATGATTCCAAAATATTGAAAGTCACCAAACTATATATAGTTCCATAATTGAGGGAAGACTTTCTTTGACTTAAAAATTAATAAGGGGGGCCATTTGTCCTAGCTACACAAAACAGCTGTTGAATTTGGTGAAAACCTTGTCTGGTCACTCACTAAGCCAGGGGTGTCAAACTCAATTTCACATCATGGTTGTGTTTGACCATGGGGGGCGTGGACCAGGTGGGCGTGGCCAGCTCGCCATAACTTGTGTTGAAGGCACCTGTGGTGGCCTGGGCAGGGCTGGGGGGATCCATTGCCTCCAGTGGAGAAAGGCGAGACCAGAGAGACCACCAAACCCTTGTCCTCCAGAGGAGCCTTGCCGTCTGCTGGTGGCCAAGTCCGTCCTTCCTTCCTTCCTTCCTTCCTTCCTTCCTTCCTTCCTTCCTTCCTTCCTTCTCTTTTTCCTTCCCACTTCATTCTCCTTTCCTATCCCTTCTTGGATGCTCAAATGCAACATTTCTCCTTTTGTTTTGCTTTTAGTTTGTTTTACTAGCCCTCTGCCAGCAAAAATGGATTGGGGGTGGTGGTGGTGCACGCAGCCCTGTTTTCAGCCTGGACAGTCTCCTGAAGCCCTCTGCCAATGAAAACAGCTCGGGAAGGCCACACATGCTCCCAAGCTCCATTTTCACTGGCAGAGGCACTGCAGGGCAGTCCTTCACTTTTTCCAGGGTCGTCCCGTGGGCCAGATCTAAGCACCTATAGCTTTGAGTTTGATACCCCTGGGTTAGGTGATGCACCCAAAGATATTCCAAAGTAGCTATGGCATATTTGTATGGCTTGAAGTCTAGAAGTTGCTTTTGCTGTCCGCAGGTTTAAGGGCTGGAAGTGATGCAGGAACGATGATAGAATAGTGAACAGTGGTTCAAAAGAATGACGTTTCCATAGCTCACATTGACTTAGGAGAAAGCACTTGGCAAGTAGACATACCAAAAGAGTACAGGCATTTTTCAAGTACTGGGAAAAGATATTGCAGCCAACTTCTCTTGGTTGTCACTAAACCTGGGAATCTGATCCCCCACCGATGATTGTAATTAAATGATATAATGTTTTAGCCTGTCAAAAGAGAAAGCAGTGTGAAATGTGTTTTTTTCCCCTCTTTTGGACATGTAGTTTCTCCTTCCAAAGCAAACTCCCAAAATAACTCCTATCAAACCTTCCATATAACTCTCTTTGTGCCTGTACAAACACACCATATAACTTTTAGGATAACACAATGTTCTTTCTTCATAAAGAAGTTATTTGAGTGCTTTAGAGCCATAATTGGATCGAACAGAATTTTATCTACTTTTTAAAAAAGAAATTGATAGTTTTATTAGAGAAAATGAAATATAAAACTAAAACAAACAAAATGAAACAAAACAGAAACATACATTCAAAACTAGCAACTACAACAACAGCAAAAAGTGTATAAAAAAGGAGAACAAGTGGTCATTTAAATTTATCATAATCCTATATGTTTATCTACTATCCTAAGTCCCATCACCTGCTTTTTGCTTGGTCTAGAATACAAATCATTGAGGCAAGCAAAAACACAAACAAAAAAGGCTATTCTTAGGCACAATATTCTCCTTTTTTTAAAGCTAGAATAACCTCATTTCCCCCAAACATATACACTGAAAGCTGATATTGCAAACCAGGGTGTCAATCCTGAAGCCATTTTGGAGTGTCTTCAGGGCTGCCACAGCTGGTTGGAGTTGTGGGAATGGGAGGGGGAAACTTGTAGCCAAAATAAAATTCTTTCTCCTGGGAACTAAGGACATTCTCACCAGGTGAGAGGAGGCATGGACTGAAACCAACTAGAGTTAGTATTGTGACCTGGTTGGACCATGTGATGGACATGTGGACTGGGATAAAGAACTTTGATTTTAATTTGGGTGGGGAAAATCTCGGGTCTTCCAGAGTCAGGTTTTCACCAAAGGTGCCAATTTAACATGCCTAATAAATTTGAACTTTGAGGAGCACCTTGCCCTCAGAGTTTTCATTGAATTGGCTCTGTTACTTGGAACCCTGACACAGGGTTTGTTTGTTTGTTTTTACAATACAAAGCCACAGCTGCTGCCTGTATTGATCTATGCCCCCCTATCTTTGGCTATAGCTTTAGCTATCTTTGGTTTTTTTTTTAAAAGGTGCAATAAACATTTAGAATATTTCTATAAAGAGATGACACAATTGATGTTACCTGTTGTAATTCAAACCAGATAGTCTTGGGATTTTCCATTGAGCCATAGTTGATTTCTATGCCTGAAAGGCCAGCAGCCTTGGATGGGCGGAAGGATTTCATCCGTAGTATCTGCTTCAGTGGAATGATGATCTGATTGCTCTACACATGAGGAAAGAGAGGCATGATGGACATTGCAGAATCAGTCATCTTTTTCATACTTTAGTATTCCATTTCACTTTCAGTTGGCTCCCATTGAGGGACAATGTTCTCAATGAAGGCCATCCTTAGATGGCAATAAGAGATTTCGTGAATGATTTTTAAAATTAAATCCCAGGCATATTAGTTGCCCAATTTTGTATGTGTGTGTGGATTAAAATACACCAGTAAAGTTCCACCAGAAGAATTGTTCTGACCTAGGCTTCCTGCAACAGAAAAAATTGCATGCTTAGTCCCCAAATAGAGTCCCCCTCTCTTTAATTCAATGGCTATGAATTATGTTCATTCACAGCCCTTAATGAGTCACAAATAGTTTGTAAAGAGTCCGACAGAAGTCTGCCACAGTCTTTCGGTATAAGCACCCACCTTTATCTCCCCTGAAACACTGCCAAAGACCCAATTGCCAATTAGCTTTGCAAGGCTAAATGGAGCACAGAGTCAAAACAGAGCTTCAGAGTTTAAACCGACCAGAACAAACAAAGTTGCTTCCTGTAAATGCTCACGTGCCTATGCTCCTCCTTTATCTTATGGGAGGGGCCAATCCTCTCCAAGCCTTACTCTCGAGTCGCCCCTTTTATCTTAACTGTTCTTGCCTTTTGGCAGCTCTGCGCATGCATGCACTGGGAACAGGCTCCCTCTGTTCCTCTGCCTCGCTGGTGTCAGACTCTGGAGGCTCCGGAGGCAGCACATAACTCCCAGATGGCCCTGCCCCCCCCCCTGCCTCCGACGCAGAGCCCTTGTCAGAGCCTTCCCCAGATTCCAGGACTAGCCCATGTTCCTCCCCAACCTCCTCACTGTCCGACTCTGCTGCCAGCTCTGCAGGCTGCTGGCGGACCACAACAAGGACTGAAATTGACCAACAGCATTCAAATACTGTGAGCACAGAGTGCTACTATCTAAATAGAGTTATATTTTGGCAATGCTGGCATAAAAGATTTGATCTAAAACGATAAATGGTTTTACTAGGCTTGTAAGCTGCCCCAATTTTTACCAGCCCTGAGTGGCTAGCATACAAACAAGGTTAAAACAAGAAGCAGAACAAACCATGATGGCAACAATACAATCTTTCTTCAGGCAGCAGGCAGCATTAACATACACTCAAAAAAGATCCACCTTGTCAGCCAGCAAGACTTAATGAAATAGCTAGGTTTTATTGGCGTTTAAAATCTCAGCATGGCTGGGTGCTAACCAAACTTTGTGGGGAATGTGTTTTGACAAAAGAATAAAAACATCTGACAAATACAGGCCAAGGAAAGATTGGTATCCTTGCAGGAGCTGGCAGGCAATGTCCTGACCTGAATGGTATCCTACTTGTTTCAGTTCCTGTGTTTCATCCATTGTGATAGTCCCAAAGGTGCTTTTTTTTTTATCAAGAAGCAACTGGACTTTCTTGTTTTTTCTTGAAGACATTTCCCTTCTCATCCAAGAAGCTTCTTCAGCTCTCACTGAATGGTGGGGAATGGAAGGATTTATACTCCTTGCAAACAGCTGGACATTCACATTCTATAAATCTTTCCATTCCCCAGTATCCTGTCAGAGCTGAAGAAGCTTCTTGGATGAGAATCGAGTCACAAATAGTTTGTAAAGAATCCGACAGAAGTCTGCCACAGTCTTTCGGTATAAGGCTGATAAGCACCCACCTTTATCTCCCCTGAAACACTGCCAAAGACCCAATTGCCAATTAGCTTTGCAAGGCCAAATGGAGCAGAGAGTCAAAACAGAGCTTCAGAATTTAAACAGACCAGAAGAAACAAAGTTGCTTCCTGTAAAGGCTCACGTGCCTTTGCTCCTCCTTTATCTTATGGGAGGGGCCAATCCTCTCCAAGCCTTACTCCCAAGTCACCCCTTTTGTTTTAATTGTTTTTGGCAGCTCTGTGCATGAGCGCACTGGGAACAGGCTCCCCTTGTTCCTCTGCCTTGGTGATGTCAGACATCTTCAGAAGAAAAAACAAGAACGTCCAATTGCCTCCTGAAAAAGCACCTTTGGGACAACTGTGACCTGAATGACTGAGAATCTCCATAGACATCCATACTGATGTTTCTCTTATAACCCTACCTGGGTTTCCTTGCTCCTTGCAACAATCTCCTCTTGGTTCACTCCTACAATACAAGGTGAAGGGATATCTGGGGCACTGATCTTCTCCACAGAGAAAACATTATAGCCGAAGAGCGGCAGCTGAATTATATGTTCTGCAAGAAAAGAAACACGATAGGGTGTAATATGTCAGACTCACAGGCAAAAAACACACCAGCTATGCATGTTTTCCAGGGCAAGTTGCCATCTCTGCTTAAAGCAAGAATATGGCTCAAAGCCAAGCCATTGAAGCTGTGGCACTCTCGAAGCTGCCCAAACCTCCAGACCCAAACACTTTGCATACACAAGCAGTTGCGCTTGGACAGCTATTGCCATACGATGCTCTGCCTGCAAATCATCCCAGCTGGGTAATTACAGCACAGTTGGGAAAGGCTCTATTTACATGAGAGCAACGGGAGAGACTGCATCTCTTCTTATAGTTACATCTTACAACTTGCTGATAACCTGGTGTTGACCGGATATTTATTTATAGGGGGAAAATGTCCAAACCAAACGTAATTTCTAATGTTGAATTTTCCACCTTACCAGAGGGAGCCCCCTTGTGGAGTACTGCGAAGCCATTACCATGGCAACTCCACTGCACTGTACAGTAGAAGCCATTTTAAGGCACAACAAGCTGTATCTTAACAGAACACACACACTGAGGGGTGTTAGGGTTAGGGTCTTACCCCCACAGTATTTTTTCCAGAGAGTAATCCATGTACCATGTGAAGTATGTGAGTACCAAGTTTGGTTGAAATTACTCAAGGTGTTCCAGAGTTATGCTGGAACACACACACACACACACAAACACACACACGAATTAGGAAGATGTCTGTGAATTGCTTTTAAATGTTATCTGGCTGTTCTGAACTTAAAACATTGTTTACCCTCTTGTTGCTATGGCAATGGAGCTTGCATATCTCTGTCAAAGCATTTTTCCTTACTCTCTTGTTGATCCATATAGTCCTTGCCTCTGGACTATATATACAAATGAATATTTGTACATTGTGAAGCTCCTTCATAGACGGAACAGACTGCAATTGTTGCTATATTCTTGGAGAAAATGGGTTTCCCCACATTGGTTAGCTGTGCAAGTAGTTATGGAAAGCTTGTGTAATAATGCCTTGAACAGATTTAAAATAGAGAGCTACCCACAAATTGCCCCATATACAGATAGCCCTCAACTTACAACCACAATTGAGCCCAAAATTTACACAACAAATGTGAAACATTTGTTAAGTGAGTTCTGCCCTATTTTATGACCCTTCTTGTCACAGTTGTTAAGTGAATCACGACAATTATTCAGTTAGTAATACGGTGGTTAAGTGAATCTGACTTCCCCATTGACTTTGCCTGTCAAAAGGTCGCAAAAGGGGATCACAGACTTTGGGCCACTGCAACCATCATAAATATGAGTCAGTTGCCAAGCATCTGAATTTTGATCCTGTGACCATGGGGATGCTGCAATGGTCATCAGCGTGAAACCTGAAAAATAAGTCACTTTTTCCAGTGCCGTTGTAACTTTGAATGGTCACTAAATGAACTGTTGTAAGTCGAGGACTACCTGTAATGAGTGGAAGAGATTCTCCACTGAATCACAGCACTTGCAAACTGAAATCATCCTTGGAGTTCATCTACGCATACACGTATACAACTTATATGGCTATAATAATAAGATGATATAGCAATAAAGCCATGCCAAAATCTTGCCTATTGAGGATAATTATAAAATGCATGTAGATATACAATGTACATACAACTCTGGAGGAAAGTAGGTATAAAAAAACATTTCCTTCAAATCCCATGCTACTGCATTCAAAACATTTCAAGTAGCAGCATAAAACCAGAACCAAAGCTCAGATGTCAATCAAATGCAGCTGTTGAACTCACCAATAAAGCGTACTTGTGCCTGCAATGGCTGAAGTGGTTCTAGTGTCTCCATCTGATAAGCCATGGCAATTTCAACAATGTCTGGGCTGAGGTGGGGGGCTGAAACAGGGATGTAATTCTTCAGTTCCTCTCTATTTAGACAAATAGAAGACATGGACTTGACCATAAGCTGAAATTGGAGAGTTTTCAGAAAAACCCTTCCACATGTGGGGAAGAAATTGCACAGGATGTCTTGACATTACTGTCAAAGGGAGCTAGAAAAAACTGCATGAATGCTAAGTGTTAGTGTGCAATTTGTGAATAGAATAGAATCCTTTATTGGCCATATTTACCATATTTACTTTATGAGTAAATACAGGAGGTATGTGAGGACTGATCTGGATGGAGAATCAGGATAGGATCCTATGCAGAGGCAGGGAAGTTTAACTGACTGCTGTTTAGAGTCACTCTGAGGGAGATGGGCCGTTTTTAAATTATACACACACCCATTCTTGTCTGAGGTTCTTGTTTTTGCGCATGGTACATTGTTCATTTTACGTATGCTTTTTTGAAAATGGATTAATAGAAAGCTATCTAGGTTTTGGAGGGGAAAAGAAATTATGGAACAGAAATTGGGGTGTTACAAGGCTCTGTTGGGTATGCTAACAGAGGTGTCACCATCTGTAAGGAATTGCTTTAGTGGAAAATACAGAGTCATGGCAGTGTCTCATTTGCTTAATACTATAGGTCAGTGATGGCTAAACGTTTCTGGACCGAGAGCCTAAAGTGCACGTGCATGAATGTGCGTGCGTGCACCTGAACCAGGGGTGGGTTCCTGCCAGTTCTAACCTCTTCTAAAGTGTTAGGGGTGCAAGGGTCTTGTAACTTGACAGCTTTAAGACTTGTGTGCTTCAATGCCAGAGTTCCTGAGCCAACATGACTGGAGAAGGAATTCTGGGAGTTGAAGTTGACCATCCCCATCCAGTCACATGGCTGGAAAGCCACTCTCACAAAGCAGGCCACACCTACAGAAGAGGTTCTAAAAAATTT